ATTGAGCAAGACCAGTGTAATAACCAGCGTGCCAAAAATAAGTCCCATAATTTTGAGACCCTCTCTAGTGGGTGGGCCACTGGGAATTATCTCTTTTATTCTTTGTCCAATTGTTTATGGAGTATTGCCTGTGAATCAAATATGCCCACCAAATAATTTGAAATTGAGCCTGCACCAGCTGTATTTGGATCATATCCCTTTACCGTGCACATCACATTAATTTTTGAGATTCTCCTTGTCTTCTTCCTTTGAACTTTAACTTGCCGTGTTATTTGAGGCCCCATGAAGAAATAAGTGCGGGATCAACCAACGTAGCCCAGTAGCTTTTTTTGGATCAAAGCTAATGTTTTACTCTTTACTTTGTTGGCCAGCAAATTTCCGTAGCTCTTTCTTTCTTGTTTGAGATGACCAAGTAGGGGCACATCATTCTTATATTGATCAAATCTTGTTGTGAGGACAAGAGAAAAGATACAAAGAGCAAAGCCCATCATGCACTCTGCATTCTTTTCAGCACAGTAGCACAACCATGTGATCTTGATCTACTTTTCGGCGTCAGGCTTTGATGCAAGCACGGGGTAGATTTCATTCGAGGTTCGAGACCTCTAGACGTCAACGACGTCGGCGCAGGAGTGGTGGCTGGCCTCAACGACGTCGCTGTAGAGCGGTTGTTTCAGCGACGGCTGCGATAGTTGTTGGCTTCCGTGGTAACGACGGCGGACCTCAACGGGAGTGCGGGTGCGTGTATATTCGGCGGCTTCTGTGGCAGCAAATTCAAATGGTGACTTTGAGCACCCTGCACCCTTGCATTTGTGGATGCATGCAGGAATTCTAGGTGGCCAACAAAAGCTAGTTGGCGGCGGCGGTAGTTGATTTCTACTACAACATCTAGATCTGCCCCCCTCAACGCGGTTCGTAGGCGGCGGCAAGTCTCAAGACCAGCGGCGGCGGCAGGTCTAAGCGGCGGCGGCGGCAGATCCGAGCAGCGGCAGCGACGGCGGATTTGAGCAGCGGCGGCGACGGCGGATTTGAGCAGCGGTGGCAGCGATCAACTTCCTCTATTTGATAATGACTTTGGATTTTAACGGCGGCTATCCTCACCGTGGCGGTGGCTATGAACCTTCAGTATGGCGGTGGCGTGCGGTTGCTGGACCAGCGGCTGTGATGGACTTGGGCGGCTTAATCAGTCTATGGAGGCCGTGCGGCCGAGCAACGGCGGAAGCAAATCCCGAGAACAATGGTTGTCGCGGACGGACATATTGGACAGAAAATACGTAGATGAACTTTGGCTCCTTCTCGCATTGATCTCCTGCTCCTTCTGTTAGCTATGACTTGCTTGTAACAGCAGCTTGATGGTGATCTTTAGCAAAACAATAGCCCTTTTTGAGGAATGGCAGCACTCCATCTGCAAATATTTGAACAATAGGCTATTGTGTCTCTTTTCCTCTTTTTTTTGTTGTTGGCGTGGGGAGGAAAGAAAAAAAAGTATCATGCTCCCCTCTCTCTCTTTTTTCTCGTGTAGCCATCCTCTGACTCTATTTTTCTCTTTGATCTCTCTCTCGTTTGTGGTATTCAATGGGTAAACTCTCGGTCCCACGGTCGGCGCCAAAATGATGGTGTAAATTATCGACCGGTATATCGTTTTTGGGGGCAAAAATGATAAACTAGTCTAAAAAATACACCAAACTATAAATACAAGGATTTTTACGTGGAAACCCAAATCGGGAGAAAACCACGGGCCTTTTTTGGCGGTACCTTGCCAACGGGGGATTTTTATTAATATCGGGGGTGTGTACACGATACATGAAATGGGCTCGGAAGCCATTAATGGTGGAGCTACAAGCTCTTGAAGAAGAGGGAAAAATATACTCTAAAGATTTTCTAGAGAGAGAAACTAAGTGGGCAGGGGAGAGTATAGAACTTGGCCCCCCCAACAATTAGGGCAACCCTCCCTTTTATAGGAGAGGGTGAGAGCATCTACGGAGGAATATTCTCTTATTCCTCTATTTTATTAAACAGACCCGGTTTAACCGTTCTTCGTAAATAATTGGGAAATGTGGGCCGAGTCACGTATTATTTCCCATCAAAATGATTATTTTAAAAAAAATAAAAATAAATTTTCCTCAAGTACAGATCCTGTTCTGAAAATATTATTGAAAATATGCTCTAAAATCCTATTTTGTTACCAATTAATTATAAACCATATAAATATGATTTGTATAATAAAAATGATGTTTGTGACATATAAACATTATGTGATGCATGACGGTAAGTTCGGGTGTTAACACTCGAGACTAGGCCGCTATTTGTTATTATGCCTTATGACGATTGTTTGATTATTGATTTTAATGAATTAATGATGATGAACGTTTTGAATGATGATCATGAATTGTTAAAGTGAAAATAATGAATTAATGAATCGTATTGTTAAGGATATCTAGAACAACTCTAAGATATACCCACTTGTATATTGATGATGATTATTAAGGATATCTAGAAGAACTCTAAGATATACCTACTTGACCAATTCATATTTCGGGTTAAAACGTACGTACGGGATCCAGACCGGATATCACCCACCCGACAAATCATTGTTCGGTTGGTACGTAATCCACATGACTCATAGGGTGGATTATCGATTCTTGTGTT